CATACATACATACATACATACATACATACATACATACATACATACATACGATACATACATCGATACACACATACATCGATACATACATACATCGATACATACATACATCGATACATACATACATCGACACATACATACATACATACATACATACATACATACATACATACATACATACATACATACATACATACATACATACATACATACATACATACATACATACATACATACATACATACACAAACATACATACATACATACATACATACATACATACATACATACATACATACATACATACATACATACATACATACATACATACATACATACATACATACATACATACATACATACATACATACATAATACATAGTATTACATATACATACATACATATTATTACACATACATACATACATACATACATACATACATACATACATACATACATACATACATACATACATACGTACATCGATATATCCATCCATCAAAACATACATACATACACACACACACACACAGACATACATACATACATACATACATACATACATATACATACATACATACATACATACATACATACATACATACATACATACATACATACATACATACATACATACATACATACATACATACATACATACATACATACATACATACATACATACATAGTATTACACATACATACATACATACATACATACATACATACATACATACATACATACATACATACATACATACATACATACATACATACATACATACATACATACATACATACATACATACATACATACATACATACACACATACACACACACACACACACACACATACATACAAACAAACACAATCAAGTTAAAGGTTACATTTGTATTGTAATGGTTCCAAACCTCTTTTGCGTAACGCTTTTAACATTTTTATATAACGATCTTCGTGAGACAACGAGATAATAATATCACGAAACTTTTGCGGACGGACATTTGAATTAACACCTAAGGATTACTGGTTGACTTTATCATATTCATGTACATTAAATGCAGAACAAATTATCTGAGATTTTAAGCTCGTCAGTCGGGATAGCTTTAACAATATGTTACTGGCCCGATTCACAATCAACTAGCATTTGGCAAGCGGGCCAACAGCTATTTCGAACGCTGGTTCAAAGGCAATATACAGTAACTACATTTGGTTTCGAATTACAGAATACGAACCCAGTAAGTTGTTTTGGAACTGTTGTAACACACCTTGAATAATTTATAGTTTTAAAAGAGCGTATGGGGGAGCATAAATGCTCGGACGTTAGCTATTGCTCATGACGACACTAATACACACAAAAAGGAAAAAATGCCGTGAGCACATAATGTCAAATAAAGCCGAAGTTCCATTCAAAGCAAGTACACCCACTGTGACAAAGGCCGACTTTGTATGACGATCTGTAATCGTTTTGTTCGGAATCGTCTGTCGCAGACAGGTCACCAGGAGCACGCTCAGGTCCAAGTGGGTGGATCAGGAGGACGGGAAATCACACAGCGATAAATTTCCTTTCTAACTGACTCTCCCTTTCATCAGATAAGGGGGAAAGATACCTGCTGAGAACATTTGGAAACCCGTGCCATCGATCTGCTTCAGCTATGAATTACTGCAAATGACACATGAATCAACTGGAGGTATTCTGATGTAGGATTAAAAACAACAACATTTCTCCTTCTTTTTGTAAAACAAGAACAACCTGCAACAGCTATCTATAAACATTGTGTGTTCGTGTCATCCTTAAATGAACGAAAATGCATTAAAATGATGAAAGCTTTGATAACCTACCGACCTCCATTAGGATTCTTTACCTCATACGCGTTTCATTTGAAAGATATGTCACCCCAAGATAAGATGCTCTGTGTGATTTATCAGTGGATGACATCAAGTTAACATAAAAGGTGCAGCTCGTTGCTTGACTAAAACATCAATATTTTGTATGTGTCTGACAAGCTCGACCTAATAATCCTAGTAACTAGCGAAACAGAGTCAGTTTAGTCCTCTGTTGTGATGATAACAATGCTATCGTACGATCTCTGTTCCTGAACATGTTTCTTGTGCACTGTGATGGCAAGGCGGCAAGGGGATGGATACACACATCACCGGAATAGTTTGTTTGTGTATATCGGCTTTGAACCTATTACCCGAACACTGTATCCTCTTTTGAAGACTAACTGTTTTTCTGAAACAAACAATGCGTCTAATGCAAAGCATACCATGAAGTAACGTATAGGTCCAGAGGGAAATGCTCACGCAAAATGCAAATCCTTATCGGGACAGGATAAGACAGCCATGCCACGCCAGCACTTTGATCATTTCCTCTGGGCTATCAGTGATAGCTTACAACGCTTATATGCTATACATGTATTTATTCATGTTACGGAGCATGGTTGTGGTTTTAGGTTACATGTCACTTTACGAAGCAATCATTTAGGTAGTTGCTGAAGGATTGGGATGGTGGCTTGAGATTGTTGTCAGCCATTGAGAGGAGATAGAACTGTCTTTCTCGCAACGACCGTCTCTCAGACAGGGGTTGTGAAGGCCACACATCCGAACTGCGTGCATTTTGCTGGGGATTAACGCCACTTTGAAGTATACTTTTGGTATATCACTGTGTGTTAGCTTGTGGGTGGGATGAAATTTGGAAATGATGTGTCATAGACATTAAGATTGCATGGAGCCTACGTCATAAATATATTGACGTTAAGCAACGTTGATCACGGAGAGTCCTTGGGACGGTGACCGTGTTTGGTAGATTGGCTCCAGAGAGTTCCTTGGACTTCAGTCCTGCCCCACGTGACACATGTGGTCACACTTTAGGCAGGTGAATTTGTTCAAAACTGCCTCTGCTCACCCAGCAGTGAATGAGTACCATGTGGGATAAGTCATATGACTATTAACCTTCTAGCGCCTCACAGACACCTTGGAGTAACCAGGGTAATAGTGTCCTAGTAATAATGGCTTTGAGCATGCATAAGTGCGTGGATACTGATGCTTTATAAATGTTCATTATTATCAGTATTAGTTTTTTCTACGTATTTTGATGAAATGTGAGATGACAGAGGCTTGCCCACCTATAGTTTAAATAATCCCTTGCAATACTTGACTAGTCTATAGCAGCTAAGGGCTATCCGGGGTAATAATGTCAATGAAGTTGTACCTATGCGCTTAGAGCAAGCCCGTGCGACATGGAGTCCAGCGCCATGTAAGTGGCCTTATTAACATGAGTTATGTTCCGATAAGGCAAAAATCATAATCAGAGGGACTCGAACCCACGATCATAGGATCCGGGCACGCCCAAGGGACGCAGCTATGAACGGCGAATTTCAGCGCTTCAAAGACGATGACCACCCTTGAGCCTTTCTATTGTGAGCCCAGTAACATCCACACGGGAAGCTATTGCCTATTGCCGCTTCATCGTTATTGTTATGGTTGTGGATGGCATGAGGTAAATGTCAACTGCATGATTTAGTGAAGTGTTTCTTAGGCAAAGAAATCACATCCTAGAACTCACGTCATCGAAGTTATAAATACACTGGTGAGGCTCTCTCACATAGAGATGTAGTTGAAAATGAAACATTTTCATTTTTGACTCACAGACTACTAGAATGCCGACCAAGGTTAAGATGTAGTTGCCTTAACGTTATGTGTGATCAACTGTATGTCTCTCTCTCAGGGGGCGGTGGGGTAGCCTAGTGGTTAAAGCGTTGGCTCGTCACGCCGAAGACCCGGGTTCGAATCCCACATGGGTACAATATGTGAAGCCCATTTCTGGTGTCCCCCGCTGTGATGTTGCTGGAATATTGCTAAAAGCGGCGTAAAACCAAACTCAGTCAGTCTCTCTCTCAGTCTCCCTCTCACTCTCCCTCTCTCTCCTTCCCTCTCTCCCCCCCCCCCCTCTCTCTCTCTCTCTCTCTGGGATGACCACTTGCCTACTCCAGCGCCACATTTAAGCCAACCGCATGGAATGTACACACTTCCATTTGCCAATACAATATTGCTATAACGATGACATGTTTTTATCAACTAGGGTGCCAAGCTCTACGGCATCAAATCAGCTCTGCGCACTGAGGGTGTACATAAGCTGGAAAATGGCATAACAATTTCTATGGAATTTGCACAATGCAGCATATCACCGTGTCAGATTACTCAATACCACGACAAAGAAACGTAGGACACACATAGTTTTCTGATCGTACTTCAATTAGTCTCATGACAATCACATATATCACACTTGTGTCAGTGTGCTAGTTAGACATGCTCATTACATCAGTGACAACACGAATTATCCATTTAGGGACAAGAACTGCTACTATTTAGATTACCTCAATTCTTGCCTGACTGTCAGTCAGGAATGCCACAGAAACAAAGGACTGGGTGTACATCTTACCAATGACTATACAGAAGCGTTCGATACACGTTTGCGTCTTGACGTTGAGTTGTACCAGAATATGTGGGTGGCGACTCATTTTAGTGTAGTTCCTAGAAGAATGTACGTACTAACCATGCACTGATGATGATGATGATGATAATGATGATGATGGTGATGATGATGTTTTGAAAAAACCCAGCAATGTAGATATGAAATGGTAGTAGTCACTAGGCAATACCTCATAACCAGATTGTGGTTCAAATAAGGTGAACACTTTTTCATTCAAAGAGGGTATGGTAAATAAATATTACCAAGCAGCAATCAATCTTCAATTCGAATACCATGAAATTGTCAATATTATTTGTATCCTATGTAACACATACTCATTTGTAAAAGTTATAGACAATACCAATTATGACTTTCAAACGAACATTTCCTCCAAACACATTCCAACTTTTTCATGACAAAGAATTATTTAATAAATGAAATTGAAAAACAGGCAAACGAGTTCACTGATGAGGAAACCGATTCCTGTGTTCCAATATTAAAAGAAATAACAAAAAACGGACACACTTACATAAATCCGTATCCTCTGCGAAAGCTCCTATATCCCACAGCACGTTAGCTGCGTCTGTCGAAGTGAGATGATCGGCACAACATCTACACAAACCGACAACATAGGCAGATGCGTGCTTCATTCTTCTCGCTGGCGATCAATGGACTTGACTTCGGTGCAGGGCTCTACTCATTGGCTGGCACTGCCGTCATCTTTCACACCTAACCAATCTCCTCTATGTAGACTTCCAGCGCTGATAAAGATATTTCTTATCACATTATCTGCTAGTACAAGGTGGAAGTGATTATAGTTCTTGTTGATTTGGTAAATAATATTTAGATTCCTTGTTTGAACAGGATATTTCGATTTTGGATTACATGAAAAAGCACTGGGAGAGGACTGACCATTCTGATTTCCACGTCCGATTTAGCATCAAAGGGGTTAAGTACCTGAATAGTTTGCTGAAGTTGTCGTGATGGGATGATCGACGTTCAGTTGTGGTTGTGCTGCAATCGGGGCCATCATTCAGCGGTCGTGATCTTTACAACATTACGATTTGGGCCACTATTGAATGGAAAATTGACATTTTCTGTATTCGATTGAGCTAAGAGGTAGAATTTGCATCAGTTTCAAAGGAACTCAAGGAAATGGAAGGATCGGGTATGTTGCATTATATATGACGTCACAGCGTTTAATCACGAACGCCACATGAATCAATTTTCCAAAAGAATGTTTTGTAAGAATCTGTAGTAATATCAGGGCAGTAAACTTTTTAACCACTGGAAGTTGATATATATGGATCATTGGTGAAAATCAGGGTTAATATAAGCCTTCAGGTACGGTAACCCAAGCCTGTCTAGGTGGGTCTAATAGTCAGACTTAGTCGATGTATCGTATCTCAATTCGATTGATTGATGCTCATGATGAAAATCACTGAATTTTCGCGTCTCGGCCCGATCATGCACAGGCCGCTCATTTATTGCTGAAATATGGTCGAGTGTGACGTTGAACAAGACACTGTCTCATTTTGATGCAGTACAAGGTTGGTTGGTTGGTTGGTTGATTTGTTGTTTAACACCGCACACAATATTCCAGCGGCGGTCTGTAAATTATCGAGTCTGGACCAGACAATCCAGTTATCAACAGCATGAGCATCGATGTACGGGATACGATGATATGTGTCAACCAAGTCAGCGGGCCTAACCGCCCGATCTCGTTTGTCGCCTCTTACGACAATCATGGGTTGCCATAGTTCTAATCCGGATCTTTACGGGTTGTTGCAAGTACAAGGACAGATGCTATGCGAACTTGAAATTATGAAGCATAGACGCTGTAAGGACAAAGAAGACTGTACATCCTCAGGGACACTGGGGCCAACTCTGGACCAGGCAGACCAATTAGTGAAAACATCAGCAGCAGTCCTCAGGGCCCCGTTCCACAACGCGATCGTAGCGCTAAGGAGATCATAACTCCGATATATTGACATTGGCCTACGATAGTCCTAGCACCAAAATTGCTTTGTGGATCTGGACCAATTGTTTTGATACTTTCAGCAGCTGGGGGTCCAGAGTCGATTAATTTACAGGCCTCTTATATAGCAGCTATACTATGGCATTACCCAGAATGGCGCGGTGGGGTAGCCTAGTGGTTAAAGCGTTCGCTCGTCACGCTCATCCTCACATGGAAACAATGTGTGAAGCCAGTTTCTGATGTCCCCTGCCGTGATATTGCTAAAATATTGACAAAACGTAAGCGGCGTAGAAAGTCGCTCACGAAATCACTCACTACTCAACAGTTAGTACAGCTCTTTTTTCGACAGAATATAAGAATATCAGTGTTTTCATAGTTGTGCGGATATAGTGAATGAGTTTAGTTTTACGTAGCTTATAGGAATATTCCATGAAATAATATCACGGCTGGGTACACCAGACATGGACACATATTGTACCGATGTAGGCGTGACGAGCGAATTGCTTATCACAATCTCAAGATAGGTACCAACACAGATGTAGGTTTAGGTTAAAGTTTTTGTGTGTGTTCCATCTGGTCTGAACAATCCTATATGATCAGTTTGGTTATCACAAGCTCAAGATAGATACCAACACAGGATACCGTTTTCTATGGATGTGTTCCATCTGGTCTGAATGATCCTATGTGATCATCTCAGTTATCTCACACTCATTTCATTTCCTGTTTTTCCTGTCCCGGCTTAACCGGTTGGGTAATTCCTAGACCTCACCTTGTCCTCACGCCTCATTTAACATACCTCTCTTTATACAAGAATGCATTGTGGTTCATCGCAACCTACACGAAGGTTCCTTTGTCTATTTTCACCTGGACGGATAAATACAGCGATCACTGAGCAACTAATGGAGCTTATAACCTTTGGGAGGCACTCTGTCAGTTCCTGTCAGTTGGCGCCATACAAGACCATCCATTTTGGTAACTCAGTAGAACATGTTGTGGTTCTGCTTGATCTGAAGGTCAGTTTCTTTAAATTCAGTTTTGTGAGACAGACATATGCAGCATTGTATTTGATATTCTCGGTTTTGTGTTGTTTATGTTTTAGTTTAACGGCGCTGTACCAGAGAGGCGATCGTTATGGATGTGTGTCTGGGTGATGGCCATGTATACGTCCATCATAGATCTATACATCATAAATGCATATATAACAGAACAGTAAGCTGCATTGCTCGTTTGTATAGAGACAGGATGTATTTCAAACCACTTCTACAAAACGTATGACAGTGAAAGGGGGAGAACTGTTTGATCATTATTCACGTGTTTTGTCAAGACATCCACAATGTGCAGCGGGATGAAGCAAGACAAAATATATTTCAGCCAGTAAACCCACCACTCCCCATCCCTTATATCTACGGAAGATTGCCATTGTTTGGATGGCTTCAAGGGTTGTTGTCCAGTGTGAGCAGTGGTCATCTGTGGACTAGTAGTAATGGCCAGACAGTTAGAATATCAGTTTCAGCCAAAGATATTCCGATTATTTCACTACGAGCATGTACACGATTGAATGTGGACGAGACGAAATGACATAAACAAAAGCCCATGTCTTCTGTGTACAATGGCATGCACACAAACAACTCCTCTGGCAAGCGTGTGGTATTGAAAGGTATTCTACCGTTTAATGCCCATTGGATGAGGTTGTGTGATCTGAGCCATGAGAGCGTAAGTAACGGTTACCTTGGCAACACGCTGTTTACTGTACGATTTTCTGGAGTTTGAAATGACTATTTGGGTAAAACAAGCGTAAACACCTGGTGTCGTCGGGATGAGCTACAGTTACTGTACATCGGGATTGTAGCTTTCGGGTTTGTGTTTGTTACTTTGCATATTGGGGCGGTGGGGTAGCCCCAGTGGTTAAAGCGTTTGGTCGTTACGCCGAAGGCCCGTGTTCGATTCCCCACATGGGTATATGTGTGAAACCCATTCCTGGTGTGCCCAGCTGTGATATTGATGGAATATTGCTACAAGCGACGGAAAACCAAACTCACTCACTTATCATATGAGATGCGATTATAGCACCCTCGCAGATATTTTTGTTGAGTGTAGTCTCAGGCATGTTAGAGGACTTGTAATGATATCGATGAGTCACGTTGTACTGCCATCGCTGTGATATGGACTGCAGGAATCTAAAGGCTCAGAGTTGGGCATTGCTCTGCATACTCGTTGATCTTTTGGAGGCGATGTCTTAGAGTGGGAGCAATTTGATAATCCTTTTGCACAAAAGCTATGTACTTGAGGTCATAAAGGTCCGATTCTACAGGACGGCCAAAGGGGAGGTTTGGGTAGTCTTGTGATTAAAGCGTTCACTCGTCACGCTGAAGAGCCGAGTTCGATTCCCCACAGGGAACAATGTGTAAAGTCTGTTTCTGGTGTCCGTGGTATTGCTGGAATAACACTACTGCGCTGACTTTACCCTCAGCGTCTATAATGGCATGACCTGACAGAATCAAAGTGAAAAACACGTTCATAGACTCTGAAACGTCTTCATTAAACACCTGTGCTTGATCAACTACCTGAATGCTGACCCCATTGTTCATGTATATAGGTGCTTACGGGTACCCTTGTGGTTTAAGCGATCGTTGGTAACTTCGAAGGCCCGGGTTCGGTCCACTCACAAGGCCATAACAGGTGAAGCTAATTTTGCTTTGTCCCCCGCCGTAGTACTGATAAATTATGGATGAAACCGGCGTTAAAACCACAACCACGCACTCACAGAATACGTGAGTGGAACACACCTGCATATCCTCATGAGAGTTTGAACACACAGAAATGTGATCGCAGTACCATAACATATCAAACATTGTTCTAAATCAATATCACCAGTCACTGCAGTGTATCACCCAACAACCCCCACCCACACCCCTGAAAAGTAAAGTTATCTTCTTGAGATCACCTTCGATGGATCTGCAAAATCGTATCCGTGGACTAGACTGCCCTAAGATCGATTATCTTTTCGTGAAATTATTCCCCTCTTGTCCAATTTCTTCTGAAATGATTTGCGCAGTTATTTAAAGTGACTTAATACATTAACTGATTTGTGCACTGTTTTCTGATTCTTTAAGATATTCGAGCTAGTCGAGTAGGTGAATTTTGTCTAGGTAAATATCAGAATCGTGACAAATATAAAATTCAATCTCTGTATTTTTAACCCAGAGCTTTGAGTATCTACACACTGACAGACACATCGACTTTGATACTGAGGGTTTAAACTAAAGAAAGCAAAAGATCGATTGAGATGAAATACACAAAAATGGTCTTCAGCGAAACGCATTATATTTTTATCATTTCGAATAAACATCTTTTACGATGTCTTTGTTATCGATAGTAAATTTAAATGCTCTGTACTTTATGAAACGAACCCGTTTGAATTAAAAGAAACAGTTGTTTGCATGTCTTTCTAAACATGCAGATTATGCCTACACCACTTCAACTATATCCACATTCACCCGTGAAGAACCGGGTTAGAACTGTTCTTCAGTAACCCATGCTTGTCGTAAGAGGCGACAAACTGGATCGGGTGGCCAGGCTCGCTTATTTGGTTGAAATATGTCATCGTATCCCAATTGCGTAGATCATGATATTGATCACTGGATTGGCTGGTCCAAACTCGATTA